CCAGTCCCCGGCCCCATTGTTTTCTTCCCTGTGGGGATTTCTCTTGGGCCTCAGGTCTCTACCCCCACGCCTCTCACTTGGCTGCATCTCCTTGGCATTAGGCAAGGACTCATTTCTATTCAGGGCCTGCTCTCTGTGGATACTGGGGATTTCTTGGCTGAAGATGGCTGCCAGCATTTATCCTCAAAATCGTTTTGGGCACGGTTTAATTTGCATCAAGTTTGCATTCCTGATTTTCAGCCAGAGCACCCCGCCTCCCTTCTGATCTGCACCTTCAGTTAGCTGACAACCCAGTTCGGGCCTCCCTGTCTCTGCTCAGCCGGCCCCGGGGCCACTCATTCGAATTTGACTTCATGATTCTACCTGCCCACCCAAGGATCGGCACTCAACCCTTTTCTCACTGCAAATCGGATTCTTCCTAACCACAGTTTAGTACCTCCAGCTCCCGGGAGGGCATTCCTGCTGTGGGCTGTGCACGGCCCTCTGCCTGGCACACACATGATCCCGTGGTGACCTCAGCCGCTGTCCCCTTCACCAGTGATTGTGCTGGGGCAGCCCCAGCGTGCTTCTGAGCTTCTGTCTCACCGGCCTGTCTTGCCCTGGGACCCTAGGCCTAGGAAGTGGAGTGCCTTTGTCCCCTCTGCCCCAGTGAGAAGCCCAGATCCTATCTTTCTGATTTACCACCCACCCTATCTTCTCTCGTAACTCTCTCAAGAAAAGAGACCACTTCTTTCCACTTTTGCAGCCACTTAGAATTTCCTTGGATTTGTCAACAGCTTTGACCACCTCCACCTCCACCTCCCACCGTTTCTCTGTGCTGGAGCCAGAATCGTTCCTGAAATACAGCTTTTTTGTAGACCCTCCCCCTTTGAGAACCCTCCAGTGGCTTCAGTTGTCCCATTATTAAAGTCCAGAGTCCCTAAAGGGACTTGCCAGGTCTCACACACCCTAGGCCCCTGCCCAGGAATGCCCTGATGGGGAACCTGCCCGTTTTCTGTGTGTCCTGGAAGGGCTAGTCTCCTGCCCTTCTCAGCACAGAGCCTGGTGCACGTTTGGTACACGTTAGTT